TGAAGGGAAGGGAAGGGAGGAAGATGAGAGGGAGGGAGGGGGAGGAAGAAAAGAGAGAGGGAGGAAGGTAGATAAGTAGGTAGGAAGGAATTTAGTTGAAATACGTAATTCTATGTTAGATAGATAAGATAGATAAGAGAGAGAGAGAGAGAGATAGAATTAGATTGAATTCAAAAGAGATGTGACGTACACAGTTGAGTAAACAGGAATTAAGCCTTTGCTTACATATAGTACTACTGTGAGTAGAGATTCTTTCTGATATAGGTTTTGATCAGGACAGGGAGATGTTCCAACTTAAAGATGTGGCAGAAGTTGCTCTTCTGCTTGAAGGTGACTCTGAATGATACCTGCAAGTCATTGCCACCCATCTTTGAGAGATGAGGGGTGGGGGACGGAAAGTGTTGCTTTTCCACCACGACTTCCCTACTCTGGGACTTCCCTACTCTGGAACAACTAGATCGGCCCGCTTCAAAATAGCCTTTCAGAAAGTAGTGGACAACTAATTCTTCTGGAGGGCCTCTAGGGACTGACTAAGCACCATCTGGAACAAAACTGTCTTTATTCATTTGTTAATATACACTGTGTTTTGATTATTGTAGATTGCTTGTTCTGATATGTTTATACTGGGGTGGTTTTATCAGTTTTATTTTGTTGAAAGCCTCTGGGAGTCAATTATGATCTGCTGGAACAGAAGTTCACTAAAGGAATAGGTAAATTAAATAAATTACTGGGGAGTTCACCCTGGCTTTCAGAGGCTGTTCATGCGTGTAAGCTATATACAATTAACTAACAGGGAACAGCACAGCACATGTGTATCCCAGTGAAGGCGGCAATAATTAGATATTTCCTGCTTCAGTTGCTTTCATACAGTGGCATCCTGTAGGAATTCAACAGCTCTAACATAGATTTAATAATTGCAGAAAGGATATATAAGACGCTTCCTTGTACTTAAATCTGGCATCTGCCCTTAGCTTCTAAACTTCCATTCATCTCCCTGAAAGTAAAAGTTTTTAGACCCCCCCCCAAAATCTTCATAATCCTAAATATTTATCACAATTATTTGCAGAACCAACACTGCAAAAAAAAAAAATAAATAACATCTGTTTCCTTCCATCCTTCCTGGATTCTTGGAACTGAATTATTACTCAGATTGTATCCTAATTTTGTTGTTGATAATTTCACACCTTCTGGCCATTTCAATAGAATGGGATTGCTGCCGAAGGAGAAACTACCTGTTACTTCTCTGGCTCGGACTCAGCAGAAGCTTCCCAGATAGGAGGCATCCGAGGATGAAGCCTCTTGATACCTTCTCAAGATGTGAAGGCAACCCAGCCCTTTTTTTTCCCCCCTGCCTTTCCCTTCATCTTGCACTTTTTAACTTGGAGTTAGAGAATTCCTGGTTATTGACATCAGTGGCCCTGAGAAATTTTAGCTGCCCACAAACTCTCACATTACTTGCATATATATTTCCCTTGGGAGAATAAACACGTAATGAGGATTAGTGCATAGGAACGAGAGTTTGCTAATTGGTATTTTGCTATGGTGGGAGCCTCTAATAGTGTCAAAACCCTTTAATACAAAATCAGGATTTGGCTACTAATTCCAACCATTATCCCACAACCATTTTGCTTCTAATTCCTGTTGCCATAAAGTGCACTTCATTTCATAAGCTTTTTTTCCCCTCCTGTCTCTGGAATGGCATTATGAGAATGGGAAAGTGGGAGGCATGCAGAGAAAGAGGCTTAAATTGAGCGTCCAGTTGCTGACTCTGATTCTAAGTATGTACCCAGCAATAGCTCATATATTTCTCACTGGTCTGATTACAATCCCATTCAAAGAAACAGACAAGGAATTCCAGAATGATGGGAAAAGGCTGCAAAGAGAAACTAGTCTGCTAGTTCTCACATCAAACAGGGAAACGCAAAAACAGCCTTCTTTCATTCCCAAAAGCACAAATTAAAGGCCTCACCTTGACTGCCAAACTGCCGAAGGTTGGTTACGTCTAAGGTTTATTTTATTCCAAGAACTTCCACAGCTCCATAAAATAAGTCAACCGCCCGCTCTGAATTCAAACCTGCAATACGCTGCTTCCAAATAGCTGCAGATTTCCTTATGTATCTGTACCGCTTAACTTATGCTAATATACCTAAATAGAATTACCGTATAAATCTAGTAGTGACTTTTTAAATTGATATGGTAGCTCGGCGTGGCTCAAAATTGAGAACACAGCCATGTGTCGGAAGAGGAGTGACTCTGGATGGTGATGAGATTTTATTTCTAAATTGAGCACAGAGGGCTGCATTCAGGACAATGGCCAGAAGATCATTTTACAGGAGCCCCAGAAATCAACAGTTACAATTCTATACATAATTTTCTAATATAAACCTTATGCAAGAGAGAGCGTGTGTGTGTGTATTTTATTGTATTCTTTTCACTTATTTCTTTTTGAAGCACTTGTTACGTATTTTGACAACGTATGTATTTTTGTGTTTTGCTCCCTTTTTTTTTCTTCTGTTGTTTTAAAAGCAATAAAGTCAGTAAATCAAAGACAGGAGCCCCAGAAATCAGAAGAGCTGGATTCAGGCAAAGGACCCAACAACTGCTGGCTGGAGGTGATGGGAGCTGTAGTCTGGAAGGCTTTGAGGTAGAAGAGCCAAAGGAGCATGTGGCAACTGAAGTGAGGCTGGGATGTGGGGGAGGGCACGATGGGCTTTGGGGCAGCTGCAGGGTGGAAGCACCTGACAAAGCAGCCCTACAGAGGGTCGAAGTCAGCTGCTCTGGGCCATGTTGGAGGACTATGTCTTCCATCATCCCCAGTTAGCCCAACTACTGGCTAACTGGGGAGGCAGAGGAAATTATACCCGGCCTTGAGAAGTTGGTGGGAGAGGGGAAGCGGTTCCTTCACCCTGGGAAAGTAGAAAGCATGACAAAGAGACTCAGAACAGTCCTGCCTTGACCTTGGTGTCCTTCAGAAGGGGCAGGAACACTTGCAAGATGTTGTTAACACCCCCTAGAACAATAAAGTAGCATTCCTGGGATCCCTGCGGTGTCTGTACCTTGACCTGCCCTTCCTTAAACAGGTGACCCCATGTTACACTGGCAGAGGAGAAAATGGGCCCTTTTCTGATCAGCTATTAGAAATGCTCTAGAGCAGTGTTTCTCAACCTTGGCCACTTGAAGAGGTGTGGACTTCAACATGGCTGGCTGGGGAATTC